TTTAAATGACATGTTATCGATTGTAACAAAATCAGAAATAAGTTTTGAGTTTTTCAAAAGAATATTCAATAAATATCTCGATTGAAAAGTTTTCAATGAAATAAACTCTTTGATTCGAATTCTTTAATCGCTGCGCTCGGTCCGTACTGTCAAGACCTCGGTCTGATATTTTCCCGTACAGACCTCGCGCTCGGTTAATAACCTCTTAATATAACCTAACCCTATCCCTTACCCTAAACCTAACCCTTTGGGAACCCTGTGTTGTATACATGAAGGAAGGTCGAGTACGATCAGGGTTGGACATTTCAAACCATACATCTCAAACCATACTGACCCCTCCCCCGCTTAGTCATAATTATAACTTTTTTTCAAAGCAAAGGACCAGGTTAGTTTATAGCCATAGTTTTTAGAAAAACAAGTTTTTTTTTCTAAGATAGTCTAACGCATAAGATTAAAAGTATATAATAATAATATAGTTAGTAATAGCAGTAGGGCTTGTTGACATATTCTTGACAGAAATGTAACAGAATTTAACCTTGTAACTTCGTAATTTGTAACGCTATTTCCAGGCACCCCGTCATTTGCGCAGTATGTTGGTAAAAGTACAAGCCGGCAGGTACCGGCGTAATTTGTATCKGTGGGGTTTCTCGCTAGTCTTGTGCTTTTAACGCCAGCCCACCCATGTTCCCAAATGACCACAAAACGCCGCAAATTGGGCACAGTGGTCTCAGTTGGTGGCACTTAGAAACCTTAGTTTGAGTTTTAGCCGATCCCCTTGCATTTTAGCTTAGAATCGATTGTATCTTCAACAGAAAATCAACAGTTAAGGAGGCCGTGAATTCCTGATGCCGCCGTGTTTTCGCTCGCTATTAGGGCTCCTAACCCGATGCCCAATTGTGTCGTATTAACTGTCGTTCTAGTTTTATAGTATCCCGAAGGGAATTTGTAAGTTTGATCTTAGCATACGTACAGCATACTTTAATTAAAAATTATGCTCTTCAATTTGTGTAAGCAAGTGTTGCTCAGACGTTCTAGTTCGGATCACAGTTATTGAGATCAAAGTTTGCCACAACAATAAACCCTTTTAGCGATCTCTTTTACGCTGTGTTAGCCTCAAAACCATGTAATAAATTCTTTTATTCACAACAGCCCGTGCAAATACAARAGATCTGTGAGTATAACAGACAATGGAAATAGTTGGAAATCTCACGAGTTTTATCTACATTTCTGAATATTTTAGTACACAAGAGGCTAACACAGCGTAAAAGAGATCGCGAAACTCAACTATTGGACGCTGCGATCGTTGGCTCGGTCGTTTTCTGTGTAGTATTCATTYAAGGTGGTATGATACCAAAGATAACAATAATTTCAAGGAAAAGACTTAGCCATTTTATTATTTCACATATCATTATCAAATCATTTGATACCAATTTTAGCATTTGTTGTTGCTATGGTAACCAAGCCACACCCAAAACACATGATTATAAGGCACTTAATGTGACAGCTCTAGCTCCGAAACTAAAATTGGAATATAATCCAAACGAAGAACTACCGATTCACGTCTGYAGCTGTACAAGAGGTACTCCTAGGCACAAACATGCAATGAACCTAAAATTGTTATATGGTTTACATAAACAAAACATAAACAAGTAAACAAACAAAAAGCTTATAATTTTAGCCAGCATCCTTTGATAAAAAGCCTTGATATTATTGAGCATTGTAACAATGTCAAGGTTTTTGAGGTTCATTGCACTACTGCACTCTCAATCATTATTCCAGACAAATTTCATGCAATTTTTAGGCAAAATCAACTGCAAAATAATTTTTTTCAATTTACTTCAAAATTGTAGGGGTTTTT